GCCCCACTGGTCCCTGTCGCCCCACCCTAGTCCCCTGCCACCCCACTAGTCCCCTGTCACGCCCCACTAGTCCCCTGTCACGCCCCACTAGTCCTCTGCCACGCCCACTAGTCCCCTGTCACGCCCCACTAGTCCCTGTCACGCCCATTAGTCCCTGTCACACCCATTGGTCCCTGTCACACCCCATTAGTCCCCTACGGAAGACTCAGGTTGGGTGTGGGTGATTCTAGCCTGTATTATTATTTTTATTTTACAGTATTAGCCCACCCGGGCACAGGTCTCTGCATCGGGGCCTGGGAGGCAAATGTAATAATAATAATAATAATAATAATAATAATTCAGATAAGTAAAATTTATAATATAAAATAAAAAAAAATAATGATAATGATAATAATAATAATAATAATAATAATAATAATAATAATAATAATAATAAAGAACCATAAAGAAATACAAATCTGAAAAAAATTTGACAACAGTGAGGAACAATATATGTATGTTGTGTTGTCAATAGTAAGAGAAACAATTGAGACCTGATATTGTGTAAATGAGGCAGAAAGTCAGATCAGCAACCTGGGACTTGGTCACAATTTTGGTGATGCCATATGGCAGCAGGATCTACCATTAGACAATACATTATACTTCCAATTTCTTCCCAGGCGGTAGTACCTCCCTGTTTGGGCTCCTACTACTGGTAAGGTTAGGTTAGTTTCTCATCCTCCTACTATTCTTCTTCCTTCTTGTTCTCCTATTCCTTATTTTCATTCTCCCAATCCTCCTCCTCCTCCCCCCCCCCCCCCCCCCTCCTCCTTCTTCCCCCCCCCCCCCCCCCCCCCCCTCTCCTCTCCTCCTCCTCCTCCTCCTCCTCCTCCTCCTCCCCTCTCTTCCTCCTCCTCCTCCTCCCTCCTCCTCCTCCCCTCTTCTTCCTTCCCTTCCCCTCTTCTTCTCCTCCTCCTCTTCTCTTCTTCCTCCTCCCCCTCTTCTTCCTCCTCCCCCTCTTCTCACCTTTCCTCCACACTTACCATCCTTGTCTCCTCCCCTGTTATGATCCGCTCTCCCCTCATTATCGACGGTGCCGAGGTAATAAACACGTTATAATGTCAACAAATTTCAAGGGTATTAAAAAAATATATTTGAGATATTTTCCTGGATGTGTTTTTATGCACGTGTAGAGAGAGACTTTTAATGACCCCTCCCTAATCTCCCTGCATTATCTCCCTCCCTAAACTCCCTTCATTATCTCCTTCCTAACCTGCCTTCATTATCTCCTTCCCTAAACTCCTTTCATTATCTGCCCTCATTATCTTCTTCCCAAAACTTCCTTCTTTGTTTCCCTCCCTAATCTCCCTTCATTGTCTCCCTTCTTTCCTCCCTTTCTCAACTTCCTTCCCTCCCTTTCTGAACTTCCTTTCTTCCTTGTCGAAACATGACACGATAAATAGGCCAACAAAATGTAATTGGATTTACTTCATATTTAGGAGTCAGCTTAAGCACCCTAGGAGTCAGCTTAAACACCCTTGGAGCCAGCTTAAACACCCTTGGAGCCAGCTTAAACACCCTTGGAGCCAGCTTAAACACCCTAGGAGCCAGCTTAAACACCCTTGGAGTCAGAACACCCTTGGAGCCAGCTTAAATACCCTGCACACATGCGCTTATTATACGTAATGTTTCGATCGTTGTCAAGGTCGGAGCTAAAGGTCAAATAAACACCTCGTCCGGAGTGTAACAAGATCTAGACGACGATAAAGGTCATTAGAGGGCAAAGTGGTCGTTTAGGGCTGTTTCTAAGGTCAAGATGAAAACAATGTCCCGGAGTGAGATATTTAATGTGTTAGGTTAGTGTTAGTTAAGTTTGGTTTGTTAGGTTTTGAAAGTTTTAATTAAGGTAGTTGTGTTATTAGTGAAGTTGGACAGGTGACTTGATGCAGGTGTTTGTGTCCAGACGCGTGTGGTGTATTTTATAGGAAGTGAAAGTCGAATTGTATTAAGAAAAATATCCATTTTCTAATACAGATTTAAATGCAAAGTTCCTAACCTAACCAAACCTAGCCAAACCAAATCTAACCTAACCTAGCCTAGCCTAGCCTAGCCCAGCCTAGCCTAGCCTAGCCTAGCCTAGCCTAGCCTAACCTAAAATTAGATACGCAGAGAAATACGCTAAAAACCTAGATACATTTTGACTGAATCGTCTTCATACAGTAATGGAATCGTCTTATTTCATGGCCAACCTGAACTCAATCTTGTGTACCAGCTTAATTTAGTCATCCCCAAGATAGAGCAAAGATATAGTTACTGTTTAATGAGTAATATTCAAATATACAAAATAATAATAAGAAATACAAAAAAAAATATTCCTTGTAGTTATAAATATGTTAATGGTGATAGTGAGTTTGTTATCGGTATTAAAAGGCTGGACTGTATTGTGTTATCTGCACTGTATAAAAAATAGTGTATTTTCATGTGTGATATGAACGATACGACGCTTAATATCACGTGTGTGTGTTTTAATATTGAAGTTTGATGGTGTTTTTTTATGTGAGCGTTTTGGTGGCGCTAGACTCTTAATTTATTGTGTTGTGAAGAGTTAATGAGCAATAAGAGACAAACGTTATATTATAATATCTGAACCCTGGGTGTTAGGTGTTCATATATTCAAACACACGATATGTCTCTGAACGATTAAGTCACCCTTGTGTGGAATAGACCAACAGTGTCAAAATATTATGTTCAGTCCCTCCCAGAAAACTCCTGTCGCCCATCTTGCTGAACCACGAACCCCAAGATTCATGAACTAGAAGCAGTATAGAGCGATGCGTTATTCAGTTCAGTAATGTAGTGAGGTAGATGGTTCATTCTCCACAGTACCGTCGCCACTAAGACGACAGAGGGAAGGCGTTTTCCCATCTTGCCCTAAGTGACATGATGCTGCCAGGTTAGCGAGTTATGGCGTGGTGCTCTCGTTGCCTCCCCTCCTCCCCTGTTGTCAAGGATAAGGGGCTGGGGGCTGCCACTCAGCTGTTCTGTTGTAAGTTCCGGGTTGTCATGTGTCGTGAGGCAGGGCGTTGTTAAGGAGCATTGTAAGTTGTGGTTCAGTGTTGCCTAGTGTAGTGGCGGTGGTCATTAATGGTCCGGGCCCCACCTGTAACAAGGGTATAAAGACACGCGAGCATTGTTTTGTTTGGCCGAGAATGATGGAGGCAGTGTTAACCTTGGCTGCTACAACCGTATGTTTGTGGTGACTTATTATCACCTTAACGCCTCTAAATGTTCTAAAAAAAAACACTGTGCTATTACTTCTAGAGAGCAAATTAAAAGAAAAAAAGATTAAGAGTCCGTCTCAGTGTGGTGTGTATAGTTGTTACACCACAAGATACTGCTCTGATCAATACTCGTACAGTCGTTACATCAGTCATTTGTAGTAAATGAATATTCATTATAGGAGACGCTGATGTGTGTACACAACATATATTAGTTACACACTGTATACACACACAACATATGTGTATATGTTCCTCTTAACAAAATGTAACATTAACACGATGTTTTAATGTTCGTTCTAGGTTTATTTTTGGTGTAAAGATTAATTGTTTACTATTTGACTCTAAAATGGAGACGCCACCAGTAAGACACGGGGCGTATGGCTGAATAATTTACCCGGTAGGACAGTGTACAGGCTAGTTGTGTTTTCTGTAGCGGATGGTTCTTAACAGACAGTCTAAAACATAAGTCGAGTAACCGTATCGATTGTAAGGAAGACTTATACTCTGGTTGGTTTCCTTGTGTAGGTGAGGAAAATGAGGACAATTCTACTTCTTTTTACGTCATAAACGAGTAACAAATTTAACATATTCCACAAAATCAGAGTAAATGTTCTCTTATCAATATTACTGTTTTCATACGAAAGCAATTAGCCCTGTGTGTATAAATTCCCGTTTTCTTTGGTGGCGGCGTCTTGTATGTGAGAGAGAACGGTAGATATTTTAGGGGCTAACTGTTAAACTCTTTACCGTTCTCTCTCATACTGCAACACACCGCCAGAGAAAATGGAAATAGTTACACACGTTGGGTTTATTTAGATTAACAGAATCAAAACATGAAGATTGAAGTGCATGGGTTTAAGAATGTTCTCTGATGTATAAACCTGAGAATGAAGACCTTAGAAGACAAACGCCAGATTATGACACGTGATGAAGTAAACAGATGTAAACAATAATACCTGTACGTGACTTATTAATTACATATCAGGTTGTCATCATCGAGTTAGACCAGGTGATTCCATATCCGTATTTGCATACCCTCTCTCTGACAGTATTTTCCTATATAATTATTTGAATATATTTTAATTGGTTTGATTAATGGTATGTTGGTTCCGTGTTAATACTATATTATATTTGTAGCTCCGTCTTCAATACTCCCACACCTCCCCTTCTCACACCCTCCTCATTCCCCCTCTGTTATTGCCAGGGTTAATGAGTAGTCTGTTGGGGTTTCTTATACATACATACATACATACATACATACATACATAATGGTGTCTGTCTCGACCTGTCTTTGGCTACAGACTTTTTGCATGTTTCAGAGTTCTGTTGGAGAGAGAGTTTTTCAAGCAGATGACGGGGTGACTGGTACAATATTCTGATACCCAGGAAGACACTCTACTTTGTCTGAAAATTTCATCTCATCGAAGCTAGTTAGGATGCGTCTTTCCCCAACCCTAATTGCTAAATTTTCAGGCTCGTTAAATACTGATGCTGACATCCTTGGCTACATAACAGTAATTTTTCATTTACTCGCTTGATACATTTATTATTATTATTATTATTATTATTATTATTATTATTATTATTATTATTATTATTATTATTATTATTATTATTATTATTATTATTACGGGTCGCTGGCGTTGGTCTGGGGTCTGTTCCTTGTGACCATGTGTAAGGAAAACTGTTGTTGGATAATTAATGTGTGTGTTTAGTCCATTTACTGAGGTAGCTAATTAGAACCTTGTGTCTCTTCAGATGAGGGCGCGGAGAGCGGGGATGACAGCGAGGAGGACATTGTCACTAACTACCTTGGGGGGTCCGCGGGAGCTCCCTTAGTACCCAGGGAGGGCCCTACATCCCCTCTCCACCATCACCACCACCACCATCACCACCACCACCTACAACAACAGCACCAGCAGCATCAACAGCAGCAACAACAACAACAGCAGCAACAGCAGCAACAACGCAGCCTCCAGCGTCAACAGCAGCAGGTGGTGGTGGCGAGCGTGCAGCCCGCCCACGCCCACGGCCCGCCCCGCCGCCTGGTGCGTATGGCTGAAATCCCCACCATGGACTCCATCACGGCCGAGAGCCTGGGCATGGGCGTGAGTGTGGGTATGGGCCCATCAGACGCCTTCATCCCGCCCATCCCCACCATCAGCATCACGCCACACTCGCCCATCGCCCACAAGCCCTTCACCGTGTTGGGTAAGTACCACAGCCACTCCCCTTAACCCGTCTACCCTTGTAGTAGATATCTTCCAGATCACTGTCCTAGTAGGAGACATTTAACTCTATTCTGTGTACACAGTTACTTAAGTTTCTTGTTGCTGATAAAGGCGAGGAGCATTGGAAAAAACTCAGTTGAACTTGCTTAAGATCTTACTAATGAAGGCAGCACCAGGTAAGTTGTTGACGCACGTAGAGGGTAAGATAGGGTTAATTACTGGCATTTTACCTTAGGGAATTACCACGTGAGGTGACTTACTTCCTTGGCGCTCACTCACTTGTTGAACGTCTAGCAATTGCGACCTCTTCTCCCAGCCTTTACTCCTGTTGTAGTTTGTTTATTTATCACTGTGTTATAGGTCTTCAGTATACAGATGGTGTTTGTCACATAGTTTATAACAGTGAAGTATCCTCTTTTATTCTTCAGTTGTTTTAAGGGCAGGCTAGAGGGGCCGTCACCCCCCCCCCCCTCCTCCTCTATGGTACTGTACCCCATCACGTTCTTCTAGAGGAGGGTGACCACCTTCTTCCTTACCGAACATAACAATGCCATTAAAGAAATCCTGTGAGGCATGACTTGTGCTAATGGTTCAGTGGTTGTCGTAGTTGTTTTAAAGTGTAGTTAGGAGCAGCTCTCGTGTATTACCTTCATGTATTAAGAAAAGATGATTGATAAATTAAGTGTTTAGAGGAAATAAAAAGTTAATGTTATATAAGAGATGTGTGGACTGGGTAGCACTGGGTGTCATTAAATATTTCTCAAGAATATAAGATGTGAGCACCAGACATATACACGCTCCTCCCTGCCCGCCCCTCAGTACGTTAAGCGTCGACCCACAACATCCACTGCATATTAATAATCTTTTCCAATATGAGTTTTTAATCTTTGCCTTGATGTGCCCTTTCATAGGAACCTCTCGTGCGTTTTATTATCCGTAGAACAAATATCCGAGACCCATAAGGCGTGTGTGTTGTATGGGAAGGAGGCAGGGTCAATATAGTGCTAGACAGAAGCCACCGACAGGCTTACTCGTGAAGCAGAAGGTCTTCAGTGTGTAATATTCCCTGCTCATCCGCCCTCTTTTTTCCGACATTCCCCCAGCTTCCTCCGTCCCTTCTCCCTCCCTCTCCCTCCATCCTCCTCCCCCCGCTCTGTTCTTCCTCCCTTTCCCTGGCCTCTTCCCCTCTTCCTCCCTCCTCTCTCTTCCTCCCTCCTCTCTCTTCCTCCTCATTTAGGCTCCCCCCCCCACTCACTCCACCTTCTCCCTCAGCAGCCCTTCACGCCAGCCTCAGTCACCTTCATCGTGGACATTATTAGCGCTCAAGACGCACTGGAGACGACTTCTATTTTCCAGACAGACATTCTGGGGGGGGCTCTGTCTTGAAGTGCTAAAACCGGGTCGGGTTGCCGTTGATGTTATGTTATAACTGTTCTTTAATATCTAAGGCCTTTAAACACCTTCACTACGGGGACGCCACTTATTTAATTCGGGAAACGACATACGATTTTATTCAGCACAGGGGGGACCCCGTACATAAGGGGTTAAGTTAATAGACTATCTCCAATAAGCGCATAACGAGTAATTACACTAGTCTAACAACAAATAAACAATGAAATATGGGTCGGATTAACTATGCTATGATGTGATTGTATTTAACAGGTAAAATGATAAATAGGTAGAACGAGGGAGTGTTTCGCTGAGGTTCTGATCACCAAAAATAACATAAGAGTCGGTTGTTGATGGTTCTCCGTGGTGGGTGAAGGCAGCTTGCCAACTCCTGCGGCCACGGTGTCGCCGCAAGACGGGTGGTTCCAAAAGTCCTACAGATACTGAAGTGAATTAAGAGAGAGTGATGGCTCGACAGATTCCTCGGTCATTCAGGCACGAACTTGTACCGGGTCTCGTGATGGCTTCTTCTCGGTCAACAATGCCATAGAAGTCTTATTATACCGTGAGTGTGTAAGGTATTGTTTTGTGACCTTGTGTTGTGTGTGTGATTAGTGGAGTGACATGTTATTGTTTTGTTACATAAGGACTGTTATGTTTTGCCTCACCTGTTAACCATCGTATATATTTCCTCGTCTCTCCCCTCTCTCCTCTCATCCTCACCTCCTCTCATCCTCACCTCCTCTCCCGTCTCTCCTCTCATCCTCACCTCCTCCTCTCTCCTCTCCTCTCCTCTCCCTCTCCCTCTCCCCTCCTCTCCCCTCTCTCCTGTCCCTTCTCTCCTCTCCCCTCTCTCCCCGGACGCTCTTTCAAGGAGAGTTGTATTTCCCTTCGTTGACGTCTTGCTCGACTCAGGAGTGCTCTCGGCCGCTCCTCCAGCCCTGATAACACTGTACAGGCTCTCACTAATGAAATCTCAAGGACCTGGAAGTGGCTCGTGTAAATTAGCCTGACCGGTGAGAGTGTGAGTGTTTGTATGTGTAAGTAGGAGTGTGTTTGTGTGTGTGAGAGTTTATATTTGTGTGTGTGAGAGTTTATATTTGTGTGTGTTTGTAAATCTCTTTTAATATCGTGAAAAATCTCCTTTGTGAATTTGTGAAAACTTTAATTATACCAAACTATTATTTTTTCCTCTCTTTAACTCTTGTATGTCACTGTTGATACGACTCTCTTTAACGTCCCTTGGCGCTGTAAGATTAGTCCTTCCTCTTAAGCTAGACAGAAAACTTACCACAATGTATTCCTGTAAAGGGTAAATGAACAGGAAAGAAGAAGAACAAGTACACGTGAGGGGGAAAAAATAATGTAGCGATCTAGTCGACCTCAAATTATTTATACTTTTCCATTTTATTTCTCTTTTCCCTACGTCTTCAACACAATCTCTTTTTTTTTCATGACATTTTAACTAAAGACAATCAGTATCTTCCTCTAAAGACACCATATTTATAGTACTTGATATTATCAGGTAATAATAACACCTAAGAGATGGTCATTAACTGTAGCAGAAATTATCTTCTCTATATAGTATCGTCGTGACTTATATTTCCAACAGGTTTTTTTTCTTCTATAAATTCCTTGTGGCTCCAAACCACCCCACCCACTCATCCAACCCATCAAACCCACCCCACCCACTCATCCAACCCATCAAACCCACCCCACCCACTCATCCAACCCACCCCACCCACCTACCGCAAGTTATTGTATTTTAGCGACCTGTAAAATTTACCCCATAAGTAAAAGTCTTTTAAGACCACAAAAACTGAGGCTGCTTCTATTAGTCTTTTAAAATATGAGCGATGACCATCAGTCGTAGGCACCCGGGAGGAAGTGAGTCAACGTTTTACATCAGAGGACCTTTTGCCTGTTAAAAGTGGTTCACCGTTATCCCTGGTTAAAAACCAAAAAAGCATAAAAGAAATTCGGTCAAGTCTTACCTCTGACCTGAGACTTGGTCATTGAGGGACAAGCAGCTTTACGAGGGAGGAGGAGAATGTCGCCATTGATCTGTGGAGCGACCAACAACGACCAGGTTTAAGGAAATTGTGTGAGGAATGTAAGCGAGGCTGTCTTATACCCTGGCCAATAAACTGTGTATAAGTTTGGTTATAGGTGGTTGATGGTTTGGTTTGGTTTGGTTTGGTTTGGTTTGGTTTGGTTACGTTAAGCGAGGAATATTTCGCAAGTCAAGTACGAGAAGTTAAGTGATATCATCCATCTTTCTCGTGATATATATTTTTTTTTTTAGTATTGAATAACTTTAGATATAATTTTTGCTGTGTGAGGAACAACTACTGTGTCGTAAGTATTTCCTGTATAAAAAACAAACCCGTAAACTGTACTGGATCAGGAGTACTTAAAGACCTGTTTGTTATGTTTTAATCAATAGGAAATTATAGCGACGTTGAACACAGTCTTGTCACTTAAGTCTTTGTAGATTATAAGTTAAAAGTTATAAATAATTTTGATAACATTCTGAATGAGTGATCAATGAAGAGATGGAAGAGGAATCTTTAGTACAGTATTTAGATGAACTAGAGTAAAAAAAATGTTGCTGTCAGAGCCGTATATATGTAGAATCTTTGCTCATATAAGGACACCGTCATGTTTTCTACCTGTACAAGCGTCCACCCTGACTGTATGACCAAATTTATGTAGTACGAAACAGCTTATAAAATCCTATGGTAACGTCAGCTCTCACGCGCAACTACCCCCCAAGCACTGAGGTCTACTGCATTGTCTTAAGTTTACCCTGCAAAGTTTCATACGTTTTCTCTCACTCTGTCTGGCCAGCGAACACATGCTTTTTGGATATTAACTCTACCTGGGTCATTCTGGTGGCGTCTGTACTACCTGGGTCATTCTGGTGGCGTCTGTATTACCTGGGTCATTCTGGCGGCGTCTGTACTACCTGGGTCATTCTGGTGGTGTCTGTTGGTACCTGGGTCATTCTGGTGGCGTCTGCTACCTGGGTCATTCTGGTGGGTCGTCTGGTGGCGTCTGTACTACCTGGGCGTCTGGTGGCGTCTGTACTACCTGGGTCATTCTGGTGGCGTCTGTACTACCGGGTCATTCTGGTGGCGTCTGTACTACCTGGGTCATTCTGGTGGCGTCTGTACTACCTGGGTCATTCTGGTGGCGTCTGTACTACCTGGGTCATTCTGGTGGCTGGCGGTCGTCTGTACTACCTGGGTCATTCTGGTGGTGTCTGTACTACCTGGGTCATTCTGGTGGCGTCTGTACTACCTGGGTCATTCTGGTGGTACTACCTGGGTCATTCTGGTGGCGTCTGTACACCTGGGTCATTCTGGCGCGTCTGTACCACCGTATTCTGGTGGCGTCCTACCGGGTCATTCTGGCGGTGTCTGGTACTACCAGGTCATTCTGGTGGTGTCTGTACCACCTGGGTCATTCTGGCGGTGTCTGGCTACCTGGGTCATTCTGGCGTGTCTGTACTACCCCTGGGTCATTCTGGTGGCGTCCTGTACTACCTGGGTCATTCTGGCGGTGTCTGTACTACCTGGGTCATTCTGG